GCTCCCAGGCCCCCAGGCCCCCAGGCCCCCAGGCCCCCAGGCCCCCAGGCTCCCAAGCTCCCAGCTCCCAGGCCCCCAGGCTCCCAAGCTCCCAGGCCCCCAGGCATCCAAGATTCCAGGTCCCCAGGCTCCCAGGCCCCCAGGCTCCCAGGCTCCCAGGCCCCCAGGCTCCCAAGGTCCCAGGCTCCCAGGCCCCCAGGCTCCCAAGCTCCGAGGCCCCCAGGTACCCAGGCCCCCAGGTCCCCAAGCTCCCAGGCTCCCAGAACCCTGGGCTCCCAAGCTCCCAGGCCCCCAGGCCCCCGGCTCCCAGGCCCCCAGGCTCCCAAGCTCTCAAGCTCCCAGGCCCCCAGGCTGCCAAGCTCCCAGGCTCCCGGGTCCCCAGGCTCCCAGGCCCCCAGGCCTTCCAGGCTCCCAGGCTTCCAGGCCCCCGGCTCCCAGGCCCCCAGGCTCCCAAGCTCTCAAGCTCCCAGGCCCCCAGGCTCCCAAGCTCCCAGGCTCCCGGGTCCCCCGGCTCCCAGGCCCCCAGGCTCCCAGGCCCCCAGGCCCCCAGGCACCCAGGCTCCCAAGCTCCCAGGCTCCCAGGCCCCCAGGCTCCCAAGCTCCCAGGCCCCCAGGCTCCCAAGATTCCAGGTCCCCAGGCTCCCAGGCCCCCAGGCTCCCAGGCTCCCAGGATCCTGGGCTCCCAAGCTCCCAGGCCCCCAGGCTCCCAAGCTCCGAGGCTCCCAAGCCCCCAGGCTCCCAGGCTCCCAGGCTCCCAGGCTCCCAGGCTCCCAGGCCCCCAGGCTCCCAGGCTCCCAGGCCCCCAGGCCCCCAGGCTCCCAAGCTCCCAGGCTCCCAGGCCCCCAGGCTCCCAAGCTCCCAGGCCCCCAGGCTCCCAAGCTTTCAGGCTCCCAGGCCCCCAGGCTCCCAGGACCCCAGGCTCCCAGGTCCCCAGGCTCCCCGGCCTCCAGGCTCCCAAGCTTTCAGGCTCCCAGGCCCCCAGGCTCCCAGGCCCCCAGGTCCCCAAGCTCCCAGGCCCCCAGGCTCCCAGGTACCAGGCTCCCAGGCCCCCAAGCTCCTAGTCCCCCAGGCTCCCAGGCCCCCAGGCTCCCAAGCTCCCAGGCTCCCAGGCTTCCAGGTTCCCAAACTCCCAGGCTCCCAGGGCCCCAGCCTAACAAGCTCCCAAGCTCCCAGGCCCCCAGCCTAACAAGCTCCCAAGCTCCCAGGCCCCCAGGCTCCCAGGTACCAGGCTCCCAGGCCCCCAAGCTCCTAGGCCCCCAAGCTCCTAGGCCCCCAGCCTAACAACCTCCCAAGCTCCCAGACCCCCAGCTAACAAGCTCCCAGGCCCCCAGGCCCCCAAGCTCCCAGGCCCCCAGGCTCCCAGGCCCCCCAGGCTCCCAGGCCCTCAGGCTCCCATACCCCCAGGCTCTCATGCTCCTAGTAACACAAGCTCCCAACGAAAACAAATGGACTTCTTAATTTTGAATGTATAGCCACGTGAAGTTCGACCCTTCATAGTAAACCGGAAAGAGCATGGCACTCCCTTAGGGAGCCGGAGAAAGCTGTTTACATCGAACTATCCAGTCATAAGAAGCCATTATCCTAATTCTGTAGGAATCAAGACAATTTAAACGTGGAAATCCCCTCTGGAAGCAAATGGACTTCCCATTTTCGAATGTACAGCGAAAGTAGTCAAGCGACTGTATGCCGTGCATAAGCAGTCTGGAAAGGATTTGAACTTGATGCTATTTAGCCCAGCACAAGTAATATCCAACCTTGACCACGGATCTGGAGCAACCGCTGACGGAAGAGAAGAAATGAACACTGAACACAACATAACACAAAAATGCAAAATATACACGGACATAAAGTTAAAGAAATGAATACGACTTAGCCAGCTTGGCTGCTGGACTGCCATGCTTGCACAGTCGAACTACCTCGCTCACATAGACCGCGGTTAGCTGCTTGCATGAATAAACAGAATGGTTCCACCTCAAATATATTTGCCGTTGGTGCCTTTCATTTGCGCCAGCCAATCTCTTGGCAGTACAGCGGCGACCCACAGGCAGGATCTGTACCTGTCTCATTGTGCATTGCCACTCATTGCAGCATCAAACTAACAGGTGTTATCGTCTTTGTAATAGTTACCTTACTCAGGATCAAGAGTCTCTGGCTGTGCTATAGTTGGCTCCAGCCCGACCCTACTCTCTAACTATGGTTAACCTCATAGGTCAAATCTCTAAA